CAGTGTACACAAGATATTGTTGTGGGAAGATTAATGAGCCAGTGGGGAGAAGTCCCCTTCCCATAGCTGACAGTTGCCAAGTGCTCTGACATTTTACCATGCCGCCACAGTCTTGTAAACTCCTTCATATGCTGTGCTCCACTGTAAGATCAGAAAGGCAAATGAGAACAAGCGCAGAAGTTCATTCTTCTTATGAATGCAAGCTTTCCCAGTCTAGTTTCTGGATCTCTAATTGCTGCTGCCAATAACACTTGGCCTTACTCCTTATCTATAGTCTGTCAAGCTCCCCAGTAAAGGTTTTCAGCTCTGTGCAAGTTTTCAAAACCGCAAAGGCGCTCTCTCTGTGGTTAAGCCTCTTTGTCACGTTTAATACGGCTTCTGGGTTTCTCCCTACTGTCCTCAAGTTTTTGACCTGATATTTTCCCTTAAAACTTATATATGTGTCCTTTGATCATTCACTCATGCATCATCTTTCCCTGCCCTCCAAACCTAGCATCAGACCAGAATACTGTCTATTAGGCTTTCCTTCCTGTGGGTACCTAGACAGACATACATATGTGCCTTGTGAGGAAATAAGAAATATTTCAGAATTATATGAGATTATCACAGTTCTTATCCCCAGACTGTGATTTCTAACTGACCTCTGCAGTAACAGATGGACATTTCTTTTGCCTCACATTCTTACATTTTTTTTTTTTTTACCTGTGCTTTGGTCTGACCATGTATTTCTTTTTTCTACTGTGCTATTCTAATAACTCTAAAAACAAATGTGGCTCATGCAAGCATGAAACATTAGCACAGAACAAGATGCCTGCGTATTCAAATGGCCGGTTTGCCTAACTTTTGAGCACTGCAGTGTGGATTACCTTTCATTTACCACTCATCTGACCTGTGTAACTCTCATGCCCTTTCTTTAGATTATTTCCCCTTAGATCCTGCATCCAGCTTTTAGGATCTTCAAGTTGGTGGTCGGGTAAATCAGCAACTGGATTATTACAACCCGGTATCCAAGTCCCTTTCCCCTCCAGTTCTAGGGATGGATCCCTGCCACATCGCTCCCTTCCTCTTTCCAGTATGACCCTCTGCTCTTAGGGTCATTGCTTGGCTTCTAAAGTTTACACTCCCCATAGCATTTCACCTGTAGTGTAAGAAGTCACTTGTATCCCTGAAACCATATATATCTATCAAATCTCATTGGATGACTTGGCATCCTTCTTGACCCTTTCCTATGTGCCTCATTCCACTGTTTGTATAACATGTAGACTTGTCTGTAAAAGTGGCTTCAGTTCAGATAGAGGCATGTTTGTCATTAGAGAAAAATTTTGATGCGTACGAACATGTCTGGAATAGGGAAATGAATACCTCTCAGGACCTGTTCTCAGGATCCTCCACCTGCTCTTTGTTGGTCTCTCTCTGCCTCAGCCCTGCACAGATGACCACTAAGTATGTCTGCATCTACAGGTTTTGCATCACTCTGTGGCTCAGTGAAAGCTAGAACTGGAACAAGAGTAATAATAATTGGCATTACTCATTTCAGGCACTGTACCAATGCTTTACAAACATCATATCTTTTAATTCATCATAGATAAGAAAAATAAGGGTCAGAGATGAATTCACTCAGGATGACAAGGTGATTAAGTGACAGAGCCAGCTTTCAAAACCAAATCTTTCTAATTCTCAAGGTCCTTGCTCTTAATCTTAGTATCAAAGTTGTATTAGAATTCCTTGCCCTACTGCAGTGAGGTGTTTAAAAATTTTTTTTATGTTTATTTATTTTTTGAGAGAGAGAGAGACAGAGTGTGAGCGGGTGAGGGGCAGAGAGAGAGGGAGACACAGTATCTGAAGCAGGCTCCAGGCTCTGAGCTGTCAGCACAGAGCCTGATGCGGGGCTCGAACCTATGAACCATGGGATCATGAGCTGAAGTCGGACGCTTAACCCACTGAGCCACCCAGGCGCCCCTCATGATTGTTTTTAAAAAAGGGCTCATACAGCTTGAGAGATTTTATAAGTTTCCAAATTATTAAAAAAAAAAACTTCCTAAGTTCCTTTACACCAGTTCTTTCCTTTACCAACTCCCTATAATCATTCACTTGTATGCCACTGTGTTCCTGGTGAGGCAGATAATTCAGCTGTTGATGCATATTTACAATTGTCATGATGTATCTCTTCAGTACTACCAGGAGCAGAAGACTGCAGATTAGTTCTTAAACTAAACCTCACAAAGTGCAGAACTCTAATTTCCAATCAAGCAGGAAGACCACTCTCCACCTTTTCCAACTGTATCTGTATTTATAAAGGGCTGTAAGTAGGCACTTGTTCTGGAGAGCAGTATCTTTATCCTAGAGAGGATGCTTAAAGAGCAGAGTGAAAGTAACAAGTCTCTTAAGTAGGTAAGGGGACATTCAAAGTCATCCTGCCTCAATGAACTCTGACTAAAATTAGGCGATTCCTATTCCAGTCTAATTTGCAGACACAAATTTGTTGCTGAACACAGGGGATCTTGTTAAAACACTGATGCTGATTCCCTGCCCTTGGGGTCAGGCCTGAGAGTCTGCATTTTTAACAAACTTTTCTTCAGAGAAGCCATACTACTGGTCCAGAGAGCACACTTAATTGTTTAGGGATTAGCAGAAAATTAGAAGATTTGGAGTTTCCTACGTTTGATTCTAATTATATTCGAATAGTAGACTACCATAGATTTCATTTGCTCAATAAATATGTATGGGGTATTTGCAATGTTCCAGGCACTGCTTTAGGTGATAGGCATTCGACAGTGATTTTTTCCCCCAATGCCCTTTAGGCTTTGGTTCAAGTAAGTGGGTCTCTACTTAAAGACCCTACTGGGAGCACCTGGGTGGCTCAGTCAGTTGGGCTTCTGACTTCGGCTCAGGTCATGATCTCATGGTTTGCGAGTTTGAGCCCCTCGAACTCTGACCCTGCCCTGCTCACACTGCGTCTCTCTCTCTCTCAGAAAAAAAAAAAATCATGAAAAAATAGGAAGCCATATAACCAATATTGCAACCTAATATTCTATCTATATAGCCCCTTTCCTCTGAATCCTTATTTATATTACCTGAGGAATTTAGAGAACAGCAGTAAAGGGTGAGTGCTTATGGAAAGGAGTAGTCTTTTTGTTGATTTTCTAAGTATGTAACTCATGAGCTCAAAAGAAATGATTACTTAAGCTGTATTCAGTCTCCACACTTGTAGAAAAAGTAAGTTCATTCAGAGTCATCACAGGAACACACAACGCTGGCATGATCCAAGGCTGAAACAAAAGTAGGGAAATTTTCCCATAATACTGTTCAATTGTTTGTATCTGTTTTTTGATCCTTTAAAACAATATTGCTAGACCTAAAATAATAATTGCATTTCTGGTTGTAATGCTTAAAAATATGAACAAATTAGAATGTTTTCAGTGATGAGGAGTCAAGATGGTGAAGAAAAAATTGGGAATGACAGAAGAAACTGATGAGAGTATTTCAGATGGAGGAGACATTCCAAAGAGAAGTGAGTGCCTGGCCTAACTATGAAATGAGGGATTAGAAGTTCTGTGAGTGGCTTCATGCCTTAGAAGGGCAGTCTGTGGTTGTAAAAAACAATTGTCTATAGTTGTTAGAACTACCTGAGAAAGTCTCTTGCTACAGAAAATTTTTGTGATGCTGAGGAGAGGGCTGGTCAGAATGGAATCTCATTTATCTTTGAATCTAGGGCCTGCTATTGAGTGGATGACCAGGATATCCAGTTTTTTTATAAAATGAAACCCATTGTATTTTGCCTCAACTGGCCCTCGTGTCTGACTCCACTATCAGTTCATCCCACAAATCTCAGAGGTGTTGAAAGAGAGACTTATCCCTAAATTTTGCTAATGGATTCAGGTTTTTTAGCATTTTGCCTTCATTTTTCTGTAGATGTTCAGTGTTTTGCAAGTTCAGTAATTATATTTCATTATCATGATTTTCGTCATATCTGAATAAAGTCTCTACTTATTTTCCCTTAAACTGACTCCCTTTTAGCATAAATAAATGTATCTTTAAAGGAAACTTTATATTACCACACAGGAGTAATTAGCAAGTGTTAATAGAGTGCTAAAGACATGTTAACATGGAACACAGACTTCTTTATTAATGTTATTAGAAGGAATGGAAAAATAAATAACTTTCTCAGCAATTCAGTGACATTTGGTTCAAGTATCTGTCTGCAATTTAAAACAGTTTTGAGTATTATTCACACTTTCAGTGATACGGTCAATGCCTTGCGTCTTATGTTTTTTGTACCCATTGAGGTGAAGTCTTTGGATTTGGGATCTAGTGCAGAAAAAAATTTGCTCTGATTTATATTCTATAGTTTTTCCCTTTCATACCAAACTTCTATGGTATTTTTCTCTGCTAGTATTGGGTATCCATTTGTTCCATGCTCTATTGTAACGCAGGCATATACCTCAGAGATAATACAGTTTTGGTTTGAGACCACTGCAGTTATGCAAATATGGTGTTAAAGTGGGTGAGATGAATTGTTGGGTTTTTCAGTGCATTGAAAATTTATGTTTATACTATGCTGTGCAATAAAATTAAGGGTGCGATAGCATTGTGCCTAGAAACAATGTATCTTTGCTTAAAAAATAGTCCTTCCCTTGGGGCACCTGGGGCACCCTTAGTCGGTTAAGCGTCCGACTTTCGCTTAGGTCATGATCTCGCGGTTCGTGGGTTCGAGCCCCGCGTCGGGCTCTGTGCTGACTGCCGGCTCAGAGCCTGGAGCCTGTTTCAGTCTGTGACTCCCTCTCTCTCTGACCCTCCCCTGCTCACGCTGTCTCTCTCTCTCTCTCCTAGAAATAAATAATACATTTAAAAAATTAAAAAAAAAAAAAGAATGCAACAGATTTTCTGTACGTTGATTTTGTATCCTGCAACTNTAAATAAAAATATTAAAAAAAAAAATAGTCCTTCCCGAAGAGTTGACAAGATGGTAGAAGTAGAGCAACAGAAGGAAGTTCACCTGTTGAAGCTTGGACCTCCAGCAGCTGCTGAGCATGTCCTATCAACAGCTGACGCAGCTGCACAGTGTCTTTCAGCAGCAGAGGCTGAATTGGAGTGTGCAGAGGAAGCAGCACTCACTGCTGAAGCAACCACACAAGGCTACGAAGGAGGCCTCCCTAATGGAGAAGCCCAAGGTAGTTAAGGCCCACCTTCAGGACATGATCATCGTGCCTGAGACGGCAGGCAACATGGTGGGTGTCTACAATGGCAAGGCCTCCAACCAGGTGGAAATCAAGCCTGAGATGATTGGCCACTACTTGGGTGAGTTCTCCCTCACCACTAAGCTTGTGAAGCATGGTAAGCCCCCCATCGGAGCCACCCACTCCTCCAACTTTGTCCCTCTGAGGTAGCCTATTTGGCCAATAAAGGCACGGAGTTTTCTGAAAGAAAGAAATAATTCATGGATAATAAAAAGAGTGCTAGTCATCATTGGGGCTTTCATCATGTCATAATCTTGGTGTGGATGGAGAGTCATGCCTCGATGTTGATGGCTGCTGACTGACCAGGGTGTTGGTTGCTGGAGTCTGGGGTGGCTGTGGCAATTTCTTAGAAAAGACACCAGTGGAATTTGCTGCATCAATTGACTCTTCCTTTCATGAATGATTTCTCTGTGGCATGCTATGCTGTTTGATAGGATTTTACCCACAGTAGAACTTCTTTCAAAATTGGAGTCAGCCCTCTCAAAGCCTGCTGCCTCTTTACCAACTCAGTTTACAGAATATTCTAAATCCATTGTTGTCATTTCAACAATCTCCACAGCATCCTCACCAGGAGTAGATTCCATCTCAAGAACCACTTTTGTGCTCATACATAAGAAACAACTCCTCAGCCATTAAAGTTTTATCATGAGATTGCAGCAATTCAGTCCCATCTCCAGGCTCCACTTCTAATTCTGGTTTACTGTTTCTACCACATCTGGGGTCAGAACACATACAACGTTTATCAGTTAAGTTTGCCATTTTAAAGGGCATGGTTTTCAGTGCTCCAAAACAATTATAATAGTAACATCGAAGATCACTGACCACAGATCACCATAACAAATATAATAATAATGAAAAAGTTTGAAATATTGTGATAATTACCAAAATGTGACAAAGAGACACAAAGTGAGCAAATCCTGTTGGAAAAGTGATGCTGGTAGACTTGTTCACTGCAGAGTTGCCGCAAAACTTTACTTTGTAAAGAAAAATGCAGTATCTGCAAAGTGCAATGAAGCAAAATGCAATAAAAAGGAGGTATGCTGGGGGGTGCCTCAGTGGCTTGGTGGGTTAAGCATCTGATTCTGGATCTCAGCTCAAGTCATAATCTCACAATTCGTGAGCTCAAGCCCCACATTCGGCTCTGCAGTGACAGCATAGAGCCTGCTTGGAATTGTCTCTCCTCTCACTCTCACTCTCTCTGTGTCCCCCTTCCCCCACCACATGCATGTATGTGCATTCTCTCTCTCAAAATAAATAAATAAACTTAAAAAGAGGTATGCTTATATATGACTTGAACTGATGACTTTTTCTCCTAGAGCACTTCTGTTTTGAAACTCTAAACTATTAATTTATCTGTGTGATAGCTTTTGTTTCCCAGAATCTCCAACATTCCATTGCTCTTGAGCCATAATATTGATGACAAAATCCTAAGATTCTATTTTTAACCCTTACCTGTTTCCTCTTGATAAACTGACTGGTTACCAGTAATAAACAGGTTTGGTTAGAATGGTATTAAAGATGAATCTGTTTTAATACATCCAGGAACAGATACATAATTGAATATGTAAATTCCATTTCCACATGAGCCTTGTTTTTGGAGTCATGTGCTGCATATGAGAAAAAGGCAAAATGATTAGTGGCAGGGTCTAGTATGCAGTGGGATCGATGCTTTGTGCTGAACATTCTGGTGATAAATGCTAAATCTGACATGTGTCTGTGGTTTTGCCCCATTACAGTTGGCATTCTGAAACTTCCAGAATCTGTGTGATATTCCATAAAGAACATGGGCTTTTGACTCTGACAAATCTGAATATGATTCTAAATTCCCTACTAATTAACTGTGAGGCTCTGGGCTAGTTGTTGAATCATTCCAAGCTTTATATACTTTCTCAGAATGTTAAAATAAAAATGTCTTCATGCATGATCATGAAACATCTTAACATGTGCCTTTACAGTGAACCTGGTTTAATATTTGTAGGGGGCTACAGAGTAGGTCTAAATCCCTGTATGTCTCACAGTGGTACCACACACACACAAACTAATGTAAAGGATCTTGGAATGATATTGTCAAATGTTAAATCCCTCACTCTGTAGGAAGAGGAAAGAAAAGAATCTCAGAAAATTAACCTACCTGAAAAGTAAGGTTGCTTTTCATCAATTCAAAAGGTGAAAATACACTAGATTTATCATTAGGGATGATTTAGGAATACCATTATCTAAATAACCAGTGTAAACTTTATTTGCAGAAATCGTATCCTCCAAACAGAAAACTATATTATTTTTCTCCTTTTTTAGTTACTGAAGTGTTCATTCCTTGACATTCTTTAACAATATCTAATTCTTAAGAAAATAATATGTAAAAAATGAGATTAAAATAGAATATGAATTATATTCAGCCTTTTAAAATGTCTGTGCTTGCATGAACTCACAACGCACACACACACACACACACACACACACACACACACACACAACTTGCAAGAATGCTTTTTGGTGTTCTGTGATGGCTAAGAAAAATGAATGTGTTTGGGAATTACTGCTCAGTAGTTTAGAAAATGGGATTTAAGATTGGTTTAAACACTGTGATAAAGACCTTTCAATCCTTTTCCCTCTTGTTTTATATAGTTTCATTTTTTTTAATAATCTTTTTTTTTTTTTGGTCCAACAGTATACCCTAGGTAGATATTTACATGTTTGACATAATGAAACAATGTCATTACTCTGTTCTAAAAAATTCCCAGTGTAATAATAAGCCAAATAACTTCTCACCTGCTACAAATATCTGTGTCAAAAGGAAGGAGAGTTGCATAGACTGGAGCTATTTCCTACTCCTCATACCTCCATATCTGGATGTCTTTTTTCATAGTGTAAGCTATAAATTGAATGGCATAATTTGATGATGGACATAGAACTGTATATTAGTTTTTATTTTGACAAAATCATTAAACATCACATAGGTTGAAAAATGAATCACGAGGCCCTAAGCCTGCCTTAGAAGATTGCACTTCATAAACTGAATTGCTCACATGGGCAACGTTTTGGTGGAAGTTATAGATTTTCTAGCATATCTCTGATAGATAGGACTAATATAACTTCAATAAAAACTCTGGATATGTCAATATAAAATTTTCCCTACCATTGAAAGATGTAAGATACTCCAGCTAATAAATCGGACGACAACCTATTCCTTAAGGTATACTAACATACATATTGGGTTACAACGAGCAACAAAATCATTGAGGTAATAAACCACAGCCACAGAGGGGCCATTGGAGAAGGTTTCTTTCCATTGCAAGAGCCAAGCATGATGTCCGTAGGTATGAAATCACTCCCCCCCCCGAATGTTAATTTTCAATAATTGATTCAGCTATATGTGCAATGATTTAGAACTACATATAAACGATACCTGAATGCCATATATGCATTTATATTTATGACACTTCACATGAATTATATCCCATAAACTAGTGGTGATGTGAAAATTCATTAGGGACCTTCAACTGTGAAACAAACCAGTAATGCATCTTGAGTTTAATGTAGCAGTTAGTCCAAGATATATAAGCTTCACACCTAAAAATCTGGTTAGGTAGCAGTAATGGTTTTGGGTGGATGTGTAGAGTGTCATCAGATGAGGTCTTAGATGCTAGGTAAACTAAAAAGCACAACCATAAAAATGGTCTAATGTATGCATTTCTTCAAAATGTTGCGGTTGCTTGAGACTGTATATTATTTAGCTTTACAGGTCTTGATATCATTACTTCAAAATTAAAGGTGATAATGAATATCTCCCAAGAAGGCTAAGGGGGGTTAAATTTTGAAGCAAGAAGTACAATTTTTGGTAGCTAAGAGATGTTAGTTTCCTTGTCTCACCCATGCTAGTCACTTTTCATCTTTAGAGTGGATACTACTTTGGATGCTATACTTTATTTGTGATCCATTGTTTTCTATTTCATTTTTTATGGGACGTAAATCACCCCCTTGTCTCTTTGTATTAGTCAAGGTTCTCTAGAGAACAGAACTAAGAGGGTTTGTGTAGTTTGTGTACACGTGTGTGTGTGTGTGTGTGTGTGTTTTATTTATAATTATGTTAAGGAACTGGCTCACAGAGTTATAGACGTTGGTAAATTAAGAATCTGCAATTCAAGTCCAGAGGTTATCTACTGGCAGAATTCCCTCTTGCTTGTGGGAGGTCAAACTTTGTTTAATTAATGTTTTCAACTGATTAGATGAGGCCCATCACATTATGGAGATCAGTCTACTTTATTCAAAGTTCATCACTTCAGATGTCAGTTACATCACAAAACAACTCATGGTAACATACAGAATGTTTTACCACATATCCAGTGCTACGTTCCAGCTGAGTTGACACATAAATGTAACTATCCCACCTGTCATTCAGAAACATATTGAAATGTCTCCTCATCAAATAGTGTTCTTCTTTGCCCAGAATTCTACTCCTTGGCAAAGAAGAACACTGTTTGATGAGGAGTCAACCTTACTAGATTTTGTTAAATGATGACAGCAGGTTTTAAAATAGACATTCTGGAAACAAATTAAATTTGTATAAAATACATTTAATAGGAAGGAGGTTGATTTTATTTTTAATCTTTGTAGGTTCTAGTCTGACACTTTGATTTTCAGAGGTCTAAATTTACATCATATCAAATATATTAAAAAGCTTTAAAATGTCAGTTTTTATAATAGATTGGAAGACTTTTTATAGTTAACTTTTCTAATAATTTGGCCATAAGTAACTTATTTAGTTTAAAATTGAATATCCTTTTCAGGAAACATTGGTACCCATATAACAGCTATTGCAAAGTAAGAAAATTTAACCTACAATATGTTTTCAATATGACGGGTATTTTTGATGGCTAATTTAACAATTTATTTATTTAAAAATTAATGGTTTTTCTTAGTGCTATCTTTTTAGGCACTTAAATAATTTATTCGTATTAGTGATTTTACATTTTCCATGTTATTTAACCTCTTTTGCTTAATATCTGTATTTGAAAATTGAGGATATTAGTGAAAGTCTCTTAGGGAGGTCACAGGGAATAGTTTGGGGAAAAACTAGCACAAGACTTTGAATCAGAAAATGTTGTGTTTTTATTTCTTCAAAACGAGATATATTTCTCTTTGTAGAGAACTAAGGAGATTCAAAATATCTGTCTAAGTCTTTGAAATTCTTCTGGGTGGCAGGCATGATGATGACCATGATGAGTAGGAAAACTCAACTATT